CAGTTTAGCATCGGGAGAACCAAGGGAAGCTAAAGCTAAGCTAACAAGGACCTAAGCTAAGCTACTGAAGCTACAAACACAAAAGCCATGGCGAATAGAACCACGAGGAAGAGCAAGTGGCCCACGTTCGACGGGAAAGCAGAAAAGTATGAGCTCTGGGAAGAGAGGATAGTGTGTTGCATGCACGGAGTGGGATTGAAGGAGACCATTACATTACATTGCATTTAGCTGACGCTTTTGTCCAAAGCGACTTACAATAAGTGCATTCGACCAAGAAGATACAGACTTGAAGAAGACAGAATCATATAAGTACATCAGGTTTCATAGAGCCAAAACATTTCAAGTGCTACTCAACTGGCTTTAGATAAGCAAGTCCTTTATTAGTATAAAAGTGTTCCGCTAGTAATTCTTTGTTAATAAATTACAAATTGGTAGCTATTTTTCTTTAAACAAACAATTAAACTATAAAGTATACTGTTTGCTTGGTATTAGTTAGAAATAACTTAATTTATTAGATATTTTAACAGATTATTGTTGCACACAAAATAAATTATGATTTCCTATAATATATAAAAATGTGTTAAGTATTACCAATTGCATTACCATTGTGTTTTTCCTCCCCAGCACGGAGTACGCCATCCAAAAGCTCCGTCAGGAGGGCAACGAGGAGGGCACCTACGTCCTACGCTGGAGCTGCACCGACTACCAGTACATCATCATCACTGTGGTCTGCACTGAGGTAGGGAACACTTCTTTATACAGTGTGAGGAATCCGTTTGTCATTTATCACCACACTAAAACCAGAAAATGTCTTCAGATTTGTATTATTTATTGGACTCTAAACAATATAGAAGAAAACAATATATGTCCTAACTCAAATATATAATAATAATAAGTAAATACAAATGTTAATATAATTAGTAACTACTTTTATTGTAAGTATTATATCTGATTATTATTGTTTTAGTATTTTAAATATAAAAATAAACATTGTCAACAAATGTTTGAGGACTATTCTCCCACTTACTATTCATTTTAAAAGTACAAACTGAAATGTATTTGAAACATTTGAAAATATTTCAGTATTTGAAAATAAGCTCAAAATGAAACTGACATAAACGGACAAAACACTCCCTAGTTCAAATATAATCACAATGTTTTCTTTTGTTGTGAACAAAAACTCAAAATCACACCCATATTGGCCGTTTTATTTTCAGTATATAACATCTTTTGTCTTTCTCCACACAGATCGACCTGAAGGAGTCTCGCACTGTGCGTCAGTATAAGAACTTCCAGATTGAGGTGGCCCCCACTGGGTTCCGCTTGTACGGCACTGAGACAGTCCGGGCCACTCTGTTCGAGCTGCTGGAGCACCTGGAGGGCCAAAGCCTTCGCACAGACAATCTCCAGTTCCAGCTGCATCGATGTTGCCCTCCACAGCCTAGAGGTAAGCTTAATCAAGCCATGGACATACAAAAAATACATAGTGAACTAATCAAAGGCATGTGCACTAACCAATACCCAGATGAGGAGAAGCACACAGTACTGCAACTTCATTAAGCTTAAAGGTCCCCTGTTATTCTGTTTTTCATCAATATATTATAGGTCTCAGATATATACCAAACATGTCTCTGAAGTGTTTGGCTGAAATACCAAACAGATCATGCATTGTAGCATCCCATAATCCCCTCTGTTTCAGCCCTGTTTCAAAACTGCTGATTCTCTGTTACTTTAGATGAAAATAAGGAGCCCCTCCCCACGCCCCTTTGTGATATAACCACAATGGTGCTCTAGGAGGAGATTCAGGGGATAAGGGGGGGG